TCCACCCCCCTCCCGCGCCTTGCCCCACCTCCTTGCTGGTCGGCACCGAGAGGAGAGGTGCAAGCGATGAGGCCAGACGACGCCGTCATGACGCCGTCATGACGCCGTCATGACGCCGTCATAGCGCCACTCTTCGGTGCCTTGTTTAGCCAATCAGGCGCGGTTTCAGGTCCGGCCTTTCTCTCTGGGTCCGGCTCACCAGGGCGGGAGGCTGCATGCTGCATGCCATGGTTCTCTAACTATAAATTGCCTACCTTTCAGGTGGCTTCGTAGGACTGACCCCGGATGGGTGGGGTGGGCCCCGCGATCAAAACTGACGCAGCTGACTCAGCACTGCCGTGTGTTGTGCCGATATTATCGCTCATAACTAGGGAGAGGTCATCCACCTTTTCTCCCCATACGTTTTCTGAACTGTGTGTAGGCCTAGAGTCATACAAGGAGGCTGATTAAACCCGCTCACTTCTGTAGTTCACGCACGAGTGCGGGCTGGCTTGCCTATGCCTATCGCCCCTGTCCACGCCGCCTTACGAGCGGAGCGAGGCAACCCGCCCGCACTCGTGCGTGCGGTACAGCATAACTACATATGTGAGCGGGGATAATCAGCCACCTGGTATATCCTAACTCTTTTGGACTCCTTTTAGGCCTACCATCCACGACTATTTCGCCAGAAAAGAATAATACCTATTTTTCACGTGCTTTGGTGCAAATCTCTTATTTGTTCGTTGCATTTCCAGTGTGTTCTTATTCGCGACAGGCTATACCCTTCCTCGCGGGTGACTCACATATGTCGGTGAAATACTGTCACAACATCACGTCCGTCACGACCCGCTGCAGCTGTGCCGGCTCATCTGTGCCGCGTGCTGCGGATGGGCGTTGTTCTGCGAGGCTGCAGATTTTTCTGAGCCTTTGAATTTGCCACTCAGCAGCTCTTCTCCCGACGGCCTGCTCGCGCGGTGGTGGTGGTGGTGGCGGCGGCGGCGGAGGTGCCCGGCTTGCGCCCGGGCCGAATGTGCAGCAAGACTTATTATTTGGCGAGGAGGCTGCGCCGCGCCTCGCCACGCCACGCGCGGGGGAAAGCAGGCCGATTAGCAAGTCGCGATGAGTAACGAGCGAGGCGAATAAACGCAGCGCGTGGTTTGTACGCGCGCTGTCCTCGCTGTGTGTGTCTGTGTGTGTGTGTGTGTGTGTGTGTGTGTGGAGGAGTGGGGCGGGGGAAGGGCGCAACGGCCATAGTTGAACGCCTGTCGTTTCGAGACTTGCATATTTATACCCTCTCCCACAGTCATCGATGTGAATTGTTTCGAAAATAATGGGCGTCCCTCAATTGCTGCATGCTTTATTGTGATTAGAGATGTCCTTCGCGAGATGCATTGCCTTCTCCGCGCGCCGCCGTTCGTCTCTCTCTAACTCGCGCCCTCTATCCCTCGCTCTCTGACATGCAAACAAGGGGGAGTTATTGTCGACGCCGATATTGTTTGCCTCGGAAGTCCAACCTCGGGTGATGTCATTGGTCGCGTATTTACGATAATTTCTTGCGGCGTTTCACACTTCGTAAATTAAGTTATAAGTATTGGAAGGTGTGAAGTTATGGCAATGAAGACATTCCAAGGCTCAGGGGTCGCGCTGTGCTTCTGCGCTAAGGCCTCCTTGGGTACTTTTGCTCTTCACTTTCCTAGCAACCTTATTGGGTACCTAAGTACAACGTGCCAATTTCCGCTGGCCTATGCCAACCCGGCTAATCTAATCGCGGAACGCGTGCGGGCTGCAGGACCGCTGTCTGCCGCGCACGCCTCGGTCTACGCCGATGTACTGTACACCGGGCCCTGCACCTGTCTCAACGGATGACTTCCCTAGAGTGGCGTAGCGTAGTGCGCAAACTGTTAAAGAAGCATAGTGCTGGCATTCAAAGGCCACTAAACTCATAGAGCGCAAACTCATTATTTAAAATCCGTTCAACCAACGTGAAGCCTTTATACACGTGACTCCTCTGTTTTGACAAGTGTTCACGGTAAATAACAAATCTCTCGAAAAACAAAGATGAGATATTCTACTTTTCCAGGGGTGTTTAACTCATTTAGGGGTGTTTTAAAGTGCATATTATCAGCTTTGTCAAAATGTTTTCTGTGTAAGCTAAAC